AGGACACGAATCTGGGCGTCAGGGACACTGAGGTGACTGGAGTTCCCAGGATGAAGTGCCTGAGAGCTCTTAGAGAAAAAAAACCCTTAGAAATCAGAATTTTTTATCTGGGTAAATACTAATTTTTACCTAAACACGGATCAGTGCATGCATGTGAGGAAATCACCTGAATTACCTGGGGAAAGAATGGATAGAATTACAAGGAGAAATGGACAAATCCAAAATATAGTAAATCTGTCATAAGAACAAGTAGACAGAAAATCATAAAGGATACTGAAGACTTGAACTGCACTATCAGCCAACTTGACCTGACATTTTAAAAACCCTCCACCCAAGAATAGTATACAAATTATTTTCATATGCACCCAGAATAGTTACTGAAATAGACCATATTCCAGGTTTTGAAACATCTCAATAAACTTAAAAGGATTCAAGTCATACAAAATGTTTCCTAACCAGAAGGGATTAAATTAGAAACCAGTAAATGAAAGATACTTGGAAAATCTCCAAATGTTTGGACCTAAATGGTAACCCATGGGTCAAGAGAGAAATCAAAGGGAAAATAGGAAGTATTTTAAATTGAATAAAACTGAGAATACAGCATGTCAAAATGTGTGGGATGCAACTAACAGTTCTTAGAAGGAAATGTAATAGTACTAAGTTACAAAATTTTGAAAGCTCCTAGTGACTTTAATTTCCACCTTAATTAGAAAATGAAGAGCAATGAAACACAAAGTTAGCATAAGAATGGAAATAATTACTAATAGGAATAAATGAGATAGGAAACAGAAAAATAAAAGGTCAATAAAACCAATGTATCTTCATTCAGACTGCTGAAAAAAAAAATACACAAGTTACCAATATCTGGAACAGCAAAGGTGACGTCACCACAAATTCTAGTTATGAAATGGATAAGAAAATGTTGTGAACTTTATGGAAATAATTTGACAACTTAGGTGAAATGAGAAAATTTCTTGAAAGAAACTACCAAGCTTTCTCAAGAAGAAACAGATAATCTGAACAGTTATTTTAAAAATGGAATTTGTAATTTAAGTCTCCCAAATATTTTCAGATATCTTACTGTTATTGATAGTTTAGTTCTGCTACAGACAGGGAATGTACTTTATGTAACTGTTTAAAACTTAAAATTTGTATATAGTCGTGTGTACTTCTTCATGTATACTCGAAAAGAATACATTGAAAGACAATGGTGAAATCCCCAATAGTGAATTGGTCTATTTGCCCTTTCTGTTCTTTTTTCACTTGTGTAATTTGTACCTCTGTAACTTGATACATATACACACACTTAGAATTGTTGTTTACCTGGAAATTGATACCTTTGTTATATAAGGTTTCTCTTTAACCCTGATTACATTTGTTGTTCCAAAGTCAGCTTTATCTGATACTAATATAGTGATTCCAACTTTCTTTTTGTTAGTGTTTGCATGATCTATCTTTTCCGATTAGCGAACTTTTAATTACTTATGCCTATATAAAGTGTGTTTCTGCTAGCATATACTTGGGTCCTGTTTCTCCAGTCTTACAATCTCTTGTCTTAACTGGTATGCTTAGACCATCTGCATTTTAAGATTTTATTTGAGAGACAGAGAGAGATCACGAGCAGGGGGAGAGGCAGAGGGAGAAGCACACTCCCCGCTGAGCAGGGAGCCTGATGCAGGGCTCAATCCCATGACTCTGGGCTCATGACCTGAGCCGAAGGTAGACACTTAACCAACTGAGCAACCCAGGCACCCCTAGACATCTGTATTTGATGTAATTTAAAAATATATATATTTGTTTTAAAATCAATCCATCCTCTTAACCATTTTCTAATTGTTCTATTCTTCGGCTTTTGTTCTTTTTCTGCCTTCTATTGGGTTAACTGAGTATTTTTAAATTATTCCATTTTATTCTATTAAACTTTACCTCCTTAAAGTTTTAGTGATTAACCTGAAGTTAACAACATATATCTTTAATTAACCAGAATATATCATCTTGTGCCACTTAACAAGATCCTACACAACATATTCCCAGTTTCTCTCTCCCATCCTTTGCACTTGTCATGCATTTTACTTTTACATGCGGTAAACACACAAAGCACATTACTGTTTTAAAATTATCTTTTAGACATTTACATAAGTGAAGAAAAGAAAAAGTATTTTACCTTCATTTATTCCATTTCTCTTCTTTCCTTTGTGTGTATCCAAGACTCTGTTATGGTTTCACATTCCTTCTGCTTCAAGAACTTCATTTATTTCAAAGAGAGAGGTCTTGTGGCAATGTATTGTTTTTGAGAAGGTCTTCATTCCTCTATCAATTTTGAAAGGTATTTCCATGAAGTTTCAGTAAAGACAGCTTTTTCCTTCTAGCACTTTACAAATGTCATTATTGTCCTCTAGTTTGCATTACTTCTAAGTCTACTGTAATTTTTTTTCCCCTAAGTCTGCTATAACTCTTATCATTGTTCCTCTGTAATTAAAAAAATCTTGGTATTCTCTGAGCTTTATATATCTATGTTCTGGTCCCATTCAGCCATTATTATATCTTCAAATATTTCTTCTGCTCCATTTTGTCTATTTCTTCTGGGATTCCAGTTATGCATGTGTCGGACCAGTAGACCTTTCCCTCCAACTCTTGTTCTTTTTTGTCACCTCCCTGTACCCCTTGCCCCCCCCAATCTGTTATGGTTTGGGTGATTTTTACTAACCTATCTTCAACGTCACTTATTCTTTCCTTGACTCTATCAAGTATTATTGATGAGCCTGTTGAAGGCACTGTTTGTGTTGATTTCTAGCATTTCCATCATTCATCTCTCTGCTCAAATGACCCATGTAATTTGCCTGTTGTGCAACTTTATTAGAACTTTAACATATTATACTATAAATTGTCCAAAAGCTATGTAACTTCTGAGTAGTTCTGGATTCTTCTGTCACTTGGTGGGGGTGGGAAGTGTAGATTTTTCTTGTTCTGTATGCCTTGTAATTTTGCCCCACCTAGGAATCTTGGGTAGGACAGTAAAAACAGAGGTAAACAAATTTCCTGGAAATGGCCATGTCATTCCTTCTGTTAAGCCTTGTGTGTGTGGGGGGGGGGGGCGGGGTGATGTCATTAATACAGACAGGAACTGGACTAGGTTTAAGTTTGGTTGTTGCTGTGGTTACCCAGAGTTCAACAGTCTTCAAACATTACTAGTGATTCCTTAAAATGTGAGCCTGTTTTCCCAAGGGTTTATCTCAATGTCTGGGTCACCTTCAGGTTTAAGTGTTCCCTGTCGATTATGCCTCAGAGAACATCCGATATACTAAAACATTTTCATTAATTCATTTATTCACCCAATATTTAATAAGTGCTGACCACTTCCTGTGTGCCTGTCACTGTACTAAATACCAAAATCTGCAATTCCCTTAATACTGCACAACCTTCTGCCACTACTCTGTGTATCTGTACTTTCTCTCTTTGCCCTCAGTAACCTTCCAACTTCTGTGTGCCTGGCCAACTTTAACGTCCTGTTCTTCCTTTAATATGGTCACTAGCTCCAAGTGATCCCTGTCCCCAAGTCTTCCATTCACCTTGGAGTTCACCATCCTCCTCTATTACCTGTGTACCTTAGATGTTTCCACATTTTAATATCCTGTATTCCCTTGTAAACTCTAAGTGTCTGTGGGGCGCCTGAGTGCCTCAGTCGGTTAAGCGGCTGCCTTCAGCTCAGGTCATGAGCCCAGAGTCCTGGGATCAAGCCCCAAGTCAGGCTCCCTGCTCAGCAGGGCAGCCCGTTTCTTCCTCTCCCTCTGCCTACTTGTGCTGTCAAAAAATAAATAAAATCTTTAAAAAGAAAACCTAAATTAAACTGGGGTGCCTGGGTGGCTCAGTCATTAAGCATCTGCTTTTGGCTCAGGTCATAGTCCCAGGGTCTTGGGATTGAGCCCCGCATCAGGCTCCCTGCTTGGCAGGAGGCCTACTTCTCCCTCTCCCACTCCCCCTGCTTGTGTTCCCTCTCTGTGTTTCTCCTGTCAAATAAATAAATAAAATCTTAAAACAAAACAAAAACTCTAAGCAAGGCAGTGTCTTATTAGTGTGCGTGTGTGTGTATATGGTTTGTGACCAATGATTAAAAAACAATCTCTATGGTAGATTGGCAGAGGAATTAAACAAAGAGAAGGTTATGGAAGGGGAGGGAGAATAGACATGCCTCTCCATGAGCCTTTCCTGTGTTATTTGCTCACCTATTTGCTCCAAGTGTCAGAAATATTTTATGCTGATTTTACAGAACTACTATGACAAGTGTAAATGAAAACTAGCTGTTCTGTTAACCTGTATGCATGCTTACCCTTCGCAAATCTGGATGTTATTTTCCCAGTTGTGGTCACAGTTAGAGTGACCTAAAGCCATGTGGTCATGCATTTCAGTTACTGTAACAGAATATGGGTGTTTTTAAAAAATGGCTTTTGCAGAAGAGTGCAACTGTATATAGCCCAGTAACAAACAAGAGCTCTGATTTTATTTCTCACATACTTTGCATAAGCTGGAAACAGAGACTAAAACCTATTATATATGGTAATTAGCAGACAGGAAAATAGCCTGGTACATAAATTCAGGGTATTTCCCCCTGTATTAGCCAGCTTGGGCTGCCGTAACAAAAATACCACAGACTAGGTGACTTAAACAAAAGAAACTTACTTTTCAGTTTTGGAGGCTAAAAGTCCGAGATCAGGGTGTCACATGGTTGGATGGTAGCGAAGGCTAGCTTCCTGGCTTATAGACAGCCATCTTCTTGCAGTATCTTCACGAAGTAGAAAGAGCAAGCTCTCTGGCATCCTTTCTTTTTTTCAGACACTAATCCTATCATGATGCACCCTTATAACCTCATCTACCCCTAAGTAGCTCCCGAAGGTCCCATTTCAAAATACCATCACGTTAGAGGTTAGGGGTCCGAAACACGAATTTTTAGAGGACATATTCAAGAAATGGCATCTCATTTTCCACCAATCACTTACTGCACGCCAGGGTTCTTACATGAAAATACCAATATTTATTTATATAAATAAAGACAAATTTATTTTCAATAAAACAGTAGCAAATAATTTCTCCCTGCTTTTAAGTTCTCATTTCTCTGGTTTCTTTTTTCCCATTAGCCTGTCTCAGGCTTGTTAGATTTTTCACACGATGAGTATCATGTATCTTCATATGGAGACAATATGGTAATGACTCAACTGATTTACACAATTATGAGTGCTCTCTTTATCTACTTGAAGACTCACTCTTCTCTTTTCTCACCCACAATTTTCTGCCGGCTGGAAGTAGCACCCTGGTTTGCCCAGGAAATCTCTTATTTGTGATGGTTCCAGTCCTAAGAGACAAACTCAAACTCATTCTTCATGTGACTTTAAACCAGGCTCAAAAGTCCCATCCAGAAATACGGACTTTGCAGTTCTACTCTGTTGTATGTGACTAATGAAATAGCTTTAAATTACACTGGAAATAAAATATCAGTAATTCTTATCAAATGAGGAGTAGTATTCATTAAAAATGACTGATCCAATCATCCGAGCTTGCTATTTTGAAATTAAGACCTATGATAAGGTCATTGCCTCAGCTGATTACAAATCACCTGGTCAAAGTCACTGATGACTTTTGCTCTTTGGCTTTCAAAGTGGGACACATCATCAAATGGTCCCATTTTTACAAAATTTATGTTATAAACAAATGCATTTTCCTATGCCTTGGTCTCTGCTACTTTGAAAGCCTCACTCTATGCTTTCACATATTTAAAACAAACTTAGGCTTTTTCTTCAGAATGTGTATTCTGATGTCGAATCAGGGATGAACTCCGACTATATGCCTTCCCACATTTACTACATTCATACGGTTTCTCTGAAGAATGACTTCTCTGATGCCGAATAAGATCTGAGCCACTGCTAAATGCCTTCCCACATTCATTACATTCATAGGGTTTCTCTCCAGTATGACTTCTTTCATGTAGAATAAGGGATGTGCGTTGACTAAAGGCCTTCCCACATGTTTTGCACGTATATGGTTTTTCTCCAGTGTGAATTCTTTCATGTTGGGCAAGGTGTGCACTCTGACTGAAGGCCTTCCCACACTGATCACATTCATAGGGTCTATCTTCAGTATGAATTCTCTTATGTCGAGTAAGAGATATTCGGTGACTGAAGGCTTTTCCACATTCTTCACACTGATAGGGTTTTTCTCCAGTATGAATTCTCTGATGTTCAATAAGAAATGACTGACGGCCAAAAACTTTACTACATTTATTGCATCTGAAAGGTTTCTCTTCAGAATGAATGTTCTGATGTATTTTAAGGTTGGCAGTTCCAGAAAACATCTTTCCACATTCCTTACATTCAAACAGTTTCTTTTTCCTTGTATGAACTTTCTGATGTTGAATAAGGGATGAATGCCGATTACAGACCTTCTCACATTTACTGCATCTGTACAGTTTCTCTCCATTATGAATTCTTAGGTGTAGAATAAGGGTTGAAAGCCGCCTGAAGACCTTCTCACATTTATCACATTTATAGGTTTTCTTTGACGTGTGAATTCTCTGATGAAGCATAATGGATGAAATCCTATTAAAGGATTTTCCACATGCTCTACATTTATAAGGATTCTCTAAATGGTGACTTTTCTGCTGTGGACTCCGACTTAACGCCTTCTCACTTTCATGGGTTTTCTCTCCAGTATGATTTCTTTTATGTATAACAAGGGCTGATTTCTTATTGAAGCCTCTCCCACATTTACTACATTTATGAATTTTCTTTCCACTGTGAAATTTCTTATGAAGTAATAGGGATGACATTCGAATGAAGTCTTTCCCACACTTTCCACACTGGTGGATGTTCTCAACAAAATGAATTTTCTGGCCCACACTGGGAGGTGGGCACTGACTCAAGGCCCTCCCATAGTCAAAAGTTTCCTTTCCATCATGAACTTTCCCATGTAGAATAAGAGATGTTCTTTGAATGAAGCTTTCTCCACATTTATCACATTTATAGCTTTTCCTTCCACTGTGAATTTTCTGATGAAGAATGAGGGATGAGATCTGTCTGAAAGCTTTTCTACAATTACTGCATTCATAAGGCTTCTCTCCAGTATGAGATTTCTGATGAAGTTTAAGAGATAAGCTTTGACCAAAGGTTTTCCCACAGTCATTACATTTTAAAGATTTCTTCCCTGAGTCTACCTTCCTGGGTTTTATTAGAACTGAACTCTTCTTGCAGCCTCTCTTTCCTGTGGGAACTTTCTGTGATGCAGAAATTGGTTTCTGATAGATGCTTTGCCCAGATTTGTTGCACAGATTTGGAGGTAACTTCCTGGTGTCAGATTTAGACCCTGAGTCTGAAAGATAGCAAGAAATTCAATATTTGTTTTCCTATGCTGGAAAAATGAAGCTTCTGTGCAGTCATTATCAATGATGATAATAATAATACTTATCAAACATAATAACAACGATGACAACTAAGACAGTAACTTTTTAGTCTCTTATTGTAATTTTAACATAAGGGCTTTATAGAAATATTTAATAATTAGAATTCAGGAAATCCTGCAATTTGAAATGAATAAAATGAAAGTTTTATTTGTAGGATAAATTCATACCATATGCTACATTAAACTCCATAGATTCTTCATTGGATAAATGTACTTTTATTATATGAAATGTCTAAAATGACAGAAGATAACTACAGACAGAAAATAAATTAGTAGTTGCCTGGGGCTGGAGGTGGAAATAGGAATTAACTGTAAATGGACATGAAGACTTTTATTAGGGTGACAAAAATATCCTAAAACTAGATTATGGTGATGGCTACACAACTTGTTAAATTTGTCAAAAACCACTGAATTATACACTTAAAATGGGTGAATTTTACAATTTTACAATGTGTAAATTAGGTCTCAATAAAGTAAATCTTTTTGTGAAGTTGTACATTTTTAAAATGTATTCTTAAAATCAAATCTTTAAAAAACAACAACTGGACTTCTGGTGTCCAGTTCCTCACGTAAGAGGCTTAGAAAGCACAACTTCATCCTAACAAGTAAGAACCTAAGTACAAACCACTGCCTCCAACTCCGGTTGCTTCCTGTCCCTCCTAGGGGGCAGCGGGGATGGGGATGGACTGAGAAACTTGTGATGTTCACACTCCAGAGGCAAAGGCACCCTAAAAGACTGAGGCCTAATCCTAGGACCATAAAATGTGTCCCATCCCAACACACCTCACCCACCTCATCACTAACTGTTTACAACAGTTCTTTCTACCTGGTACCTCCCCTCTGGCCATTAAGAAAAAATTACAAGGGATACCAAAAGGCAAAACACACAATTTGAAGAGAGAGAGCAAGCATCAGAACCAGACTCAGATATGGCAGGGATGCTAGAATTATCAGACCAGAAATTTAAAACTGATTAATGTTAAGGGCTCTAAGAGATAAAGTATACAGCATATTAGAACAGATGGGCAATGTAAGCAAAGAGATGGAAACACTAAGAATCAAAACAAAATAATAGAGATGAAAAACACTGTAACAAATATGAAGAATGCCTTGGATGGGCTTATTAGTAGATTTAGCATAGCTGAAGAAAGATTCTGTGAGCTAACTTATCAACAGAATCCTTAAAAACCAGAAAGCAAATAAAGACTGGGAAACAAAACAAAACAAAACAAAATAATAAACCCTAGACTATCCAAAGACTGTGGGACAACTACAGAAGAAGTAACAAATGTGTTATGAGAATGTGAGGATAAAAAAAAGAGAAATGAAAGAAGAAACATTTGAAGCAATAATGAGTATTTCCCAAATTAATGTCAGACAACAAATTGTGATTCAAGATGCTCAGAGAACACCAAGCAGGAAAAACGCTAAGAAACCAATACCTAGGCATGTCTTTTTCAAATTGCAGAAAATTAAAGAAAAATTCTTGAAAGACAGCATAGGGGAAAAAAGACCTCACATACAGAGGAACAATGAATTGCATCCAAATTATTAGAGACCATGCAAGCAAGAGGAGTGGAGTGAAATATTTAAAATGGTGACAGAAAGAAACCACCAACCTAGAATTCTGTACTCTGTAAAAATATACTTCAAAAGTGAGAGAAAAAAAGACTTTCTCAGACAAATAAATATTGAGGGAATCTGTGACCAGCAGTCCTGCAAGAATGTTAAAAGAGGTCTGTTAGAAGAAAAATAATAACAAGTCAGAAACTTGGATCTACACAGAGAAGGGAAAAGCAATGAAGAAAAAATAAGTGAAGACAAAAAATCCCTTAACTGACCTAAACAATAATAGTTTGTTTAAAATAACAGAAACAATGTATTCAATTGTGTATGCTTCTGTATTTATCCTATGTATACATATAAATACATACATATTTGCTTATATACACATACTTGCTTACATATATATAAATGAAGTGAATGACAGCAATGATATAGGTGATAGGAGGAAGGAATTACCATTATTTTATTATTATAAGGTACTCACACTACCCATAAAGTGGTACAGTGTTATCTGAAAGTGGACCTGGATTAGCTGTAAATGTATAAATTCTAGGGCAACCACTTAAAAAAAAAAAGATATATATATATAGATACCTATACCTATATCTATATATCTGATATGCTAAGGAAGGACAGAAAATGGAATCATAGAAATGCTCATTTAAAACCACAATAGGTCTGCATGGAGCACTGGGTGTTGTACGCAAACAATGAATCATGGAACACTACATCAAAAACTAATGATGTAATGTATGGTGATTAACATAATAAAAAAAATAAATAAAAAATAAATAAAACCACAATAGGAAGGGGCACCTGGGTGGCTCAGTCAGTTAAGCATCTGCCTTTGGCTCAGGTCATGATCCCAGGGTCCTGGGACCAAGCCCCTCATCGGGCTCCCTGCCAGTACGGAGTCTGCTTATCCCTCTCCCTCTCCCCCACGCTCTCTCAAATAAATAAATAAAACTTTTTAAAAATTAAATTAAATTAAAAAATAAAACCACAATAGGCAGAAAAAGAGTGGAAGACAAAAACAGGAAGAATAAAGACAACAAATATAAGTATTATATATACAGTAGATATCAATCCAACTATATCAATAATCACTTTGAATGTCAACAGTCTAAACCAATTAAGAGAGACTGAATTTAATCTAATTCAGAGTGAATTAAAAAACACAGCCCAACTGTGTGCTTATTAAGAAACTCACTTTAGATATAAAGACACAGATTTAAAGTAAATGAATGGAGAAAAATATACCGTGCTAACACAAATCAAAAGAAAGCAGGAGGAGCTATATTAATTTTGGACAGAGCTGACTTAAAAGCACTGAAAGTTATCATGGATAAAGGGGGGCATTATATAATGATAAAGGAATCAATTCTTCAGAAGACATAACAATTCTTAGTGGGTATATGCCGAACAACAAAGCATCAAATTACAAGAGATGAAAACTGATAAAACCACAAGGAGAAATATATGAGTCCACTATCATAGTTAAGACACTTCAACATCCCTCATAAATGAAAAGATCCAGAAAGCAGAAAAATCAGTTAGTGGAACTCAACCGTACCTTCAATTCAACTGCATATAACTGACATCTATAGACTACTTCATTCAACAGTAGCAGAAGTCACATTATTCTCAAACTCACATAGAACATTCATCAAGATGGACCACATTCTGGACCTTAAAACATAGCTTAACAAATAAATGACACAATGCTCTCAGACCACAGTGAAATTAAACTAGAAATCAGTAACAGAAATATCACTGGAAAATCCCTAACTACTTGGAGATTAAATAATACATTTCTAAATAACACATGAAATTACAAAAGAAATTTTTAAATATTTTGAACTAAATGAAAATAAAACAACTTTGGGGCACCTGGGTGGCTCAGTCAGTTGGTCACTACTGACTATTTCTTTTGATACGCAGATGTTGCTACAAAGCAACAGCAATTAAGACAGTGTGGTAGTGGAAAAAAGATAAAGACCAATAGAACAGAATAGAAAGCCAAGAAATAAACTCTTGCATATCTAGTCAAATGATTTTCAACAAGGGAGCCAAGATTACTCAATGAGGAAAGGACAGTCTCTTCCACAATCAGTGTTGGGAAAACTGGGTATCTACATGCAAAAGAATGATCCTGGACCCTTACCTTACACCTTACACAAAAATTAACTCAAACTGATTAAAGACCTAAATGTAAGATCTAAAATTATTGAACTCTTAGAAGAAAACATTGGGTGGAAAGGTTCAGGATATTAGATTTGGCACTAATTTCTCAGATATGACACCAAAAAGCACAGGCAACAACAACAACAAAAGACAAATGGGACTACATCTGCTTGTCAAAAAAAAAAATAGTGTGAAAAGGCAACCTATGGAATAAGAGAAAATGATTACAAATCATCTATCAGATAAGGGACTAATATACAGAATATATAAAGAACTATAGGGGGGCCTGGGTGGCTCAGTCCTTAAGTGTCTGCCTTCCACTCAGGTCATGATCCCAGGGTCCTGGGATCGAGTCCCGCATCGGGCTCCCTGCTCAGCCAGGAGCCTGCTTTTCCCTCTCCCACTCCCCCTGCTTGTGTTCCCTCTCTCGCTGTGTCTCTCTCTGTCAAATAAATAAAATCTTTTAAAAAAAAAAGAAAGAAAACAGTATGGAGATTCCCCAGATAATAAAAAATAGATCTATCATATGATCCGGCAATCCCACCTCTGGGTACATATCCCAAAATTTGAAATCAGGACCTTAAATACATATCTGTACTCCTATGTTCGTTGCAGCATTATTCACAGTAGCCAAGAAGCAGAACAACCCAAATATCCACTAATAAATGGATAAAGAAAATGTGATATATACAATGAAATATTATGCAACCTTAAAAAAAAAAAAAAGAAGATCCTGTCACATGCTACAACATGGATAAAGCTCAAGGAAATTTTGCTCAGCAAAAAAAAGGACAAATACTGTATGACTTGATTCATACAAAGTATCCATGGTAATCAAAATCAGACAAATACAAAGAAAGGTGGCTACCAAGGGCTAGGTGGAAGGGTGGAGGGAGAATTAGTATTTCGTAAATATAGTTTCAAAAGTTATTACAAGATGGAAAAGTTCTGGATATCTGTTGCACAACAATGTGAATATACTTAACTCTACACTTTAAAACGGTTAAGATGACAAAAACTAATGATGTAATGTACGGTGATTAACATAATAAAAAAATAATAAAAATAAAACAGTTAAGATGATAAATTCAATGTTATGATTTTTTTTTACAATTAAAAAAACTCAGGGGTGCCTGTCAGTTAAGAGTCTGACTCTTGAGCTCAGGGTCATTAAGTTCAAGCCCCATGCTAGGTTCCATGCTAGGTGTGGACCCTACTTAACAAACAAAACAACAACAACAACAACAACAACAAAAAACCACTCATAGAACTGTTAAGTAAAAATAACCTAACCAAAGAGAAATCTATCAGAAAATGGAACAAGTTCTTAGAAAGTAGTCAAAATGAACAGTTGTGGAAAATATTTTTTTTTTTTTTAAAGAATGAAGAAAACCATGCAAGGCTGAACATTTCCATTAGCAATGCTATCATGAGAGAAGGTGGAATATGCTAAGGCAGGGAATGTGATAGGTGGGGATAAGGGCATTAAGAGCTGAGCTTCTGAGACCAGAATTTGGGGTTCAAACCCAGCTCTGCTGCCACTTCCTAGCTGGGTTACCTTAGGCAAGTCACTGAACTTCCTTGATCTTTGGTTTCCTCATAAATAAAACAGGAATAGTAATAGTTCCTACCTTACAGGACTGGGAGGAACCTGTACTTAGAAGCATGTCTGGTACCTAGGAAGGGTTTATTAAATGTTGGTTATTCTTCTGGGGGCTCACACTACAGACGAGATTTTCTTTACAGGCCTGGGGCCTTTAAGGTATGGAAACTGGCAGTCTGCAAACATCTTCAAGAGGTTGTCCTCTCGAGATGGAAGGTGCTCTTACAAACAACAGCAACAAGTAAGCCTTGATTTTCTGTCACTCACCCATGCCCCGGCGTTTCCTCACTGGCTCCACTATCCAAGGTGCTTTCCCTTTCTCCAATAAGGTGATCACATTTGGCCTCCGAAAGGAAAGTCCTGCATTCAGGAAAAACATCAGCACTGAGCATGACATGGGTGCCACAGATGTCAGAGCCAAGCCCCGTGTCAACGGGATGGGGATTTATGAGCACAAAGGGAGCACAGAGGACATGAAGGGCAGCTGGAGGAGGACGGCCAAGTTCAGTTATAGCAAGCAGAATTGCTCATTTCTAACTCTACAAAGCCAATTATTCTCTTGAAAAATCAAACCAGAAACTCCTGAGGCTGGCCATTAAGCTGCTGCCTTTCAGCTCCAATCCCACCCTTCTCTGATCTGTTTTGTGTGCAGGGGCTGGGGCTCTGCAAACTATACTTCTTCACCAGAAGCTCCCTGTCAGCATCCACCAACAGGGGCTCTGCTGGTTTAAATTCTGCTTCTTTTTTTCCCTACACTCTCAGAATTAGCCTCATCCTGACCCTTCATGAGTAGAAACAGACTAGTCAGCACACCTCTCTCTTCCTTCAAAAGTCTGAGTCCCTTCCTCTAAGTCCTAAAAACCCCAAACTCTCCCCTTTGTATCCCTAACCCAAGGATGGTGCCTGCATCCTGTGGTTACCAACTCTGTATTATTTTGTCCACTATTTACCCATTAATCATACTTGTTAAATAGATTCCTCATATTAAATTCTCTCAAAACAACCAGGTGTCCTCAAAAGGTTACATATATAGTTACTGTGTGATAGCAATTCCACTCCTAAGTATATACTTAGGAAAAATGAAAAAATAAAAATATACGTCCACAAACTCATACGTTAATATTCACAATTGCCACAGAGTGAAAAACTGCCCAAACGCCCATCAACTGATGAATGGATTAACAAAATGTGGAATACTATTGGCCATGAAAAGGGGGTACTGATACACGCTACAATGTAGATGAACCTCAAAAACATTTAAGTTAAGGAAGCCACAAAGGACCACATACTTATGATTCCATTTCTATGAAAGGCCAAGAACAGGCAAATTCAGAGACAGAAACCAGATTAGTGTTTACCTAATCTGGAGGAATTAGTGGGCAAGGGGAATGAAAACTGATTGTTAATGGATATGGGGTTTCTTTTGGGGTAATGAAAATGTTCTAAAACAGACGGGTGATGGATGTACAACTCTGTGCATACATTAAAAACCACTGAATTATATACTTTGTATGTAGAGCATGTGAATTATACAGCAATAAAGCTGTTAAAAAAACCCAAACTGCAGTGGCTTCTGTTTTACTAACTAGACTAATTTATGTCCCACAACAGGTTGGTTGTGGATTATGGGGTGGAGAGAACCTTACCGAGAGAGACCAGGTTCTGGTAGTTCTCCAACATGACATCTTCATACAGATCCTTTTGAATGGGGCTCAGCCATTCCCACTCCTCCTGGGAAAAGTAGATGGCCAAATCCCCAAATGTCACTGGCACCTGAAACAGAAAATCACATGTCCTTTCACCACAGGCTTATGCTTCCATATGGCTGGAAACAACAAGGAATTTGTCCCAAACATGGGAGATCCACGGTGCCAGGAATCTATTCAGGAAACATTTGAGGTTCTGAGGCCAAGAGTAGCAAGTGCATTAAATAAAATAAATACAACACAATACAAAACGACATAGCTATTATTAAAAACTATGTGCCATAAAAAGCAGTGTCAACTTGAATTTACTGGGCACTGACAAAGGCAGAGCATTTTTCTAAGCACCCTATAGGTACCGACCCATGTTAGCCAGTGACTGGGGCACTGCTGAGAGAATCACAGCAATGCTACATATCAGGAAATGGGAGGCCCAGAAACAGGAGGGTGACTTATGGAAGGAAGGGCCCAAACGAGTGAACGGGGGAGTTGGAGTTCAATCTGGGCAGTCTGGCTTCTGATTCATGCCCCTAACTACATACTCTCTAAAGAGCACAGGACTCAACTACACAGGGCCAAAAGTTCTTTGTAGATGTAACCAAGGTTACTGATCACTTGATCTTAAATAGGGAGATGATCCTCGATTATCTAGGCAGATGATGTAATCACAGGAGCCTGTAACAGTAGGGAAATTTTCTCCAGCTGGAAGAGGAGAGTGGAAAGGGAAGTTGGAGAGATCTGAAGCCTGATCTGACCTGCTATTGCTGGCTTGAAGATGGAAGGCGGCCACATGGAAAGCAGAAGAAACTGAATATGCTAATAAACAATGAGTTTTGAAGAGCCTCAGATGTGACCACACAGCCAGCCAACACCTTTTTTCAGCCTTGCGAGACCAAAAGCAGAGGACCCAGCCAAGCTGCGTTGTGCCTGATCTCTGACCCACAAACTGTGCACCATAAACATGTGGTGTTTTGAGCAGCTCAATTTGTGGAACTTTGTTAGAGCAGCAACAGGGAACACATAACTTAGAGGGCAAAAGTGTTTGTTAGAGAAATTGCATCCAAAATGTTTATTTTAGAAAATCACTTCTTCATCTAAAGTGGTGAAGCATGGTTTTTAACAGAAGGTTGACTCACTGGCCTGGTTCCAACGAATCCAATCTGAATACAAGGTTATGTGGAATCTCTTAAAATTAGAGAGATTTCCTCCTTGTAAATATGGGCTATACAAGTAAAAACAAAGCGACATTAACAGATTAACTCTAGAGCACAACCTCGAATCCTCCTCTGCCTCAGGAGATCCTGCCTAGGCACTCATGTCTACCTTGAGAAATCATGGTGGCTCTCCTCTTCCGTCTTGGGAGCAGCCTAGGCAAACAACCTGGAGATGCTAAACAAATAGGTGAATGGCCATGTGCACACTGAGAAAAAAGGAGAGGAGGGTGGTGAGTGGTTACGTGGGTTGCTGGAGCTCTTCTCATGCTCCTACCCTCCGTGGTGATGGAGGAAACAGAGACCAGATTTTGGATGGGATTCTGTCAGGCAGGAAGTTTCCATGGAAGGAAAGCAAATGACCCATGTTTTACAAGATGGAACTTCCCTGCAAGAACAATCACTATTTACCTTGGACTTGGACTTCCCTCGTGCAGCAGGCATCCTTTCCTCCCCCTTGAGGCTCCGCATCTGGAGAAGGGCAGAGTGCAGAGAAGGTGGGGCTGTGGGAGAAGAGAAGTCATGAGGATGACAGGGCCTTTTGGGTGGTCCCAGAGTCTCTAGGATAAGAACCCCCGGATCCCTCACCCTGGTCACACATGCACGTGCATGCACACATATACACAGGTGCATAGACACACATGGAGGGAGGTCAGAATATCTTCTGCAGCATTCCTGCCCCTTCTCAGGGTTGGGAAGGGGCACAGCCAATGCTATCTGTTCCCAAGATCACAGAAGGCTCCAGATGAGGAGGCAAATGAGACATGAAGACAGCTATCCATCCATTTGACAAGCATTTGTTAAGTGTCTAGTATGTGCCAGGCATCATCCTAGGTGCTGGGGAAAGAGCAGAGTTAGAGAAGAAGTACCAGCTCCCCTGTACCTTACATTCCACCATGGATGGTAAGTTCATATAGAACACAGTGTCAGCTGAGATCATTGCTATAAAAACAAAACAAAACACAACACAACAATACCAGAGCAGGGGGTGGAGTGATGGGGTGGTTGAGGGAGGCCTCCAGAGGATGCAACATTAAGTCAAGGTTTGAATGTAGTGCAGGTGTGAGGCACTTGGACGCCTGGAAAAGAGCATTGTGAGTAGAGGTACAGTAAGTGCAAAGGCCCTGGAGCAGGTGTGTACTTGGTATGTGGAGGGAAGTAAATGGTGTGAAGCAGAATGAGTGAGGTGGGGAGTGGTGGTCTGTGAGATGGCTGAGTTCAGGAGGGGCCACATCATGAAAGGGGTTGTGAGCAGTTTGGAACTGATCCTAAATGTCATAAGACATCATTGAGGGAGCACGAGTTTGAGGAGTGGCATATCTGACTTAACATTTAACAAAATTTGTTGGGTGGCTATGCGGTGAATAAACTGTGTATATTGGTGAGAGGTGGTGGGGATGCAAGAGCTGAAGAGGCAATTCATTAGGCAGGTATGTGTCAATCCAGCAGGGAAATTCAGTGGCATGGATTAGGCCCATCACTGAGTCACTCTGCACCTATGCTCTTCTACATGCATACCATTAGCAACTGGTGACAACTGAGTTCTGGAAATAAGGCTAGTGCAACGGAGTGTTTAACGTTATTTAGTTTCAATTAATTAATCACTAAAGTATTAATAATATTAAAATTAATGAATTAGAATTTAATCTGAAATTAAAAACTGATCCTTGATTTAGTTAGTGTAAAACTTTGAAGAATGTTTGAAACAACTGGGTGTGTGAATCTACTTTTCCAAAGGTAAGTTTTATGAAATTTAAATACAGATCAAGAGGCGCCTGGCCAGTTAAGCATCTGCCTTTGGCTCAGGCCTTGATCCCAGGGTCCTGGGATCAAGTCCCGTATCAGACTCCCTGCTCAGCGGGGAGTCTGCTTCTCCCTCTCCTCCTGCCTCTCCCCCTGCTTGTGCTCTGTCAATAAATAAATAAAATCTTTAAAAATAAACAAACACACACACATACAGATCAAACAATAAAAATTACTGCTCTGGAAAACAGTATGGAGGTTCCTCAAGAAGTTGAAAATAGAGCTACCCTATGACCCAGGAATTGCACTACTGGGTATTGACCCCAAAGATACAGATGTAGTGAAAAGAAGGGCCACTCTGTTTTATCAGAGTGGCCACAGGACTTGGGGAGATTTGCAGCACAGCACGTTAAGGTTGAGGAGTTGTGGCTCAGTAACTAAGTGGCCTGGACTTCCATTCTGTGTGCTGAGCAAGGCTTCCCTCATGCAGAAAGTGGAGACAAAGGGGCCTACCCAGAGTCTTAAGATGCCTGAATTCTCTCTGCATTAGACTCCAGGACAGGGTTATGCAGGGTGATTTGTAGCACCTGCCAATTTCCATGGTGTAAACACTCCCATGAGGGCCCCACTGTAAGCTACCAAACTCATGTCACTGAGCACAGAGCACAGAACTGGGGAAAGGTGTACACAACAGGTTTGTGATCAAGTGTGAGCCAGCCCCAGCACTCCACTGCCAGAGAGTCTCTGAGAACAAAGCTGTATTTTGCCTGGGAGTTCTCCTACTTTTAACTACTATCTCCAAACTGTAGAGGTAATGCCTGGTTCTGTGGTCCAGGACAGAACCCAAAGCAGCTTTGTCATTATAGAAAATTTCTGCTGGTTGGTTCTGTTTCATTTTGAAGCATCCACATGACTTTGGCATCCTACATCATAATAAATCTGAGCTTGTATTAATATAAATCTAATTAATAAAAACCTAAAATTTAAACCATTTACCAGATAAATACATCCCTTGGTTTTTCCCTTCCAATTCCTCAAGTAGAACAGATTATTGCAGGAAGTGGTATCATGTCCATCCTGCGGTTTCTCATAGCTGTTTGTACTCAGCCATGTACCCCAAATTAGAAAAGTACAATTCTTGCCCACAAAACAATTTTCTCTGAGGAACTCAGCACTGCTGGGTAGGAAAGAACAGCAGTTTGATATTAAATAATTCTGGATTCAAAATTTGCCTCTTCCAATTATTGGGGTAAAGAAAACCTACCTCACCCTTAGCTGTTATGAAGTTGACATGAGCTACCTTTATAGGAGCTATCTTCAGCAACAGGCACACAGTAATTTCTCATCTGCCTTATCCCTTTTATTCACTATACACCAAGCATCCAAAAGACCAAGGAAGCCTGAGACCCATTCAGAAGGCTGTGGGTAGAATTCTCATACAGTGCAGGCAGGAAATTAGCACCACCTCAGTGGAGGGTAATTCGGCAAATCTTTGAAAATTGAAGGTACATATCCCCTCTAACACAGTAAACCTCATTTCTGGTATTTGTCTCTAGAAGTCCTTGCATATGGATAAAATGACACACAAGGGTATTCATTGTGGCAAGGCTTGTAGGAAGAGGCAGTATGGTTCTACAGTGAAGGGCATGAGCGTGGAGGCTGTCTGGGTTCAACCTCTAACTCTGCTACCCTCCTCTGGGTGAACTCTCATGTCCGCTCTAGGCCTCAGCTTCCTCAATTGGCAAATGGGGCAAGTAACAATGATTCCACAGGGCTGTTTGGAAGATTAAATGAATGAAAACATGTAACACATTTGGAGCAGTGCCAGTACTTACCAAACGTAAGTCATCAAGAGATTAGATAACCAAAATGCCCATCAATAGGAAAATGGCTAAGTGAGTGTTATGTACACATGATGGGACACCATGTAGATCTTAAAAGGAACAAAATAGCACTACATCAGTGCTTCTTCAACGGGGGCAATTTTGCACCCAGGGGATACCTGCAATGTTTGGGGACATCTGTGGTTGTCACAACGGGGTGTGTGTTCCTGGCATCTAGTGGGCAGAGGCCAGGATGCTGTTCAACACCCTACATTACACAAGATGGCACCCCCAAAGGAAGGAACAATCTGATCCAAACACCAACTGTGCCGAGGTTGGGAAACCTACTCTACAAGTATTGCATGAAATGATCTCCATGATGTGGTGTAATGACAGAGGAAAAGGTACAGAAAAACTTAGAAAAAAGAAAACATGGAAAACCAACAACTGAGTTTGAAAAGGCAGACAAGTTCTGGAAATATAATCAAGAAGTCATTAGCAGTGACTGTCTCTGAAGAAGGGAACTAGATCACTTGGCATGGGAAAGGAAACTCGAAACTCACTTTTCCCTATCTATACTTTGCATTTGTGTTTCACGCATAACTACCTCTTCAAAACAACACAAATAAAATAGCATGAATCTCACACTATCTCAGGGTAGAGCTGTACACCTGGCCTGTCTTCTGAATCTCAAACATAGTGTGAGAAAAGGGCTCTGCCATTTAAATTTAACACAAAGCTAATTCTTCACCCTAAAGTGAGGATGGCAAAAACCTGGATGGAAACAAGTTTCAAAGAGTTCCTGGGCAGTGGCCATGCCTCCCTCAGGGGCAGACAACTAGGGTCCCTCCTCTCAGCCCCAACATCTCCAAGATCCTAGAGGACTGTGCTGAGCACTGAGTTGGGGCAGGTCCAACAGTACTGGACAACCAGCCATTTAATGCATAATCTCACTGCTTCCTTTCAAAGTCTGCTTTTGCTGTACCATCTGTCAAATATTTGAAGATCACCTCTACTCTGAACCTGCCAGTCCCAGAGGCCAGAAATATTGAAGACACTTTCCTTAAAGACCCAAGTCCAACTGTAACAGAAAACAAGGGCTTTGCACATGAACGTGAGCCCTGACATTTCTCTGCTTTACATGGGAACAAATTTCCTCAGTTATAGGACAGGGCTAGGAATCTCCCTATTGCAGGAAAGCACAGCTGTGAGGACTGCATTAGAAAAAATACTGAAAGCACTGGTCACTCATAATCCTCCCCTCCCCTCTACCAAATCAATTTACCTCATTCCTCAAGCAAGCTCAGAGCTACAGCTCTCAACCTTGTTTGTACATTAGAATGTCTCGGGAGCTTTTTAATAAATACCAGTGGCTGTGCCTGATGGCAGATCAATTGAATCAGAATCTCTGGGGACTGGCTTTGCATTTTTTTAAATTCTTTTATTGTTATGTTAATCACCATACATTACATCATTAGCTTTTGATATAGTGTTCCGTGATTCATTGTTTGTGCATAACACCCAGTGCTCCACGGAGAACCTGCCCTCTTTAATACCCATCACCAGGCTAACCCATCCCCCCACCCCCCTCCCCTCTAGAGCCCTCAGTTTGTTTTTCAGAGTCCATCGTCTCTCATGGTTCGTCTCCCCCTCCGACTTACTCCCCTTCATTCTTCCCCTCCTGCTATCTTCTTCTTTTTTTAACATATATTGCATTATTTGTTTCAGAAGTACAGATCTGATTCAACAGTCTTGCACAATTCACAGCGCTCACCATGGCACATACCCTCCCCAATGTCTATCACCCAGCCACCCCATCCCTCCCACCCCCCACCACTCCAGCAACACTGTTTCCTGAGATTAAGAATTCCTCATATCAGTGAGGTCATATGATACATGTCTTTCTCTGATTGACTTATTTCACTCAGCATAACACCCTCCAGTTCCATCCACGTCGTTGCAAATGGCAAGATCTCATTCCTTTTGATGGCTGCGTAATATTCCATTGTGTATATATACCACATCTTCTTTATCCATTCATCTGTCGATGGACATCTTGGCTCTTTCCACAGTTTGGCTATTGTGGACATTGCTGCTATAAACAATGGGGTGCACGTACCCCTTCAGATCCCTACATTTGTATCTTTGTGGTAAATACCCAGTAGTGCAATTGCTGGATTGTATGGTAGCTCTATTTTTAACTGTTTGAGGAACCTCCATACTGTTTTCCAGAGGGGTTGCACCAGCTTGCATTCCCACCAACAGTGTAGGAGGGTTCCCCTTTCTCCACATCCCCGCCAACATCTGTCGTTCCCTGACTTGTTAATTTTAGCCATTCTGACGGGTGTGAGGTGGTATCTCATTGAGGTTTTGATTTGGATTTCCCTGATGCCGAGCGATGTTGAGCACTTTTTCATGTGCCTGTTGGCCATTTGGATGTCTTCTTTGGAAAAATGTCTGTTCATGTCTTCTGCCCATTCCTTGATTGGATTATTTGTTCTTTGGGTGTTGAGTGGCTTGACATTTTTTAAAGCAGGCTCCGCACCCAGTGTGGAACCCAACATGGGGCTTGAACTCACGACTCCACGATCAACACCTGAGTTGAAATCAAGAGATGGAGGCTGAACTGAGTCACCCAGGCGCCCCTGGGCATTTTTTAAAAAAGATTTCCAAGATGATTGAGTGCCTGGGTCACTCAGTTGGTTAAGCATCTGCCTTCAGCTCAGGTCATGATCCCAAGGTCCTGGGACAGAGCCCCACATCAGGCTCTCTGCTCAGCGGGGAGTCTGCTTCTCCCTCTGCCCTACCCTGCCCCACTCGTGCACAATGGGTACACACGCTCTCTCTTAAATAAAATCTTTAAAAAAAATAAATAAAAGCTTTCGAAGGTGATGCTAATAGGGAGCCATAGTTTATTCTTTATTCTTTTTTTAAGATTTTATTTATTTATTTGACAGAGACACAGTGAGAGAGAGAACACAAGCAGGGGGAGTGGGAGAGGGAGGAGGAGGCTTCCCGCTGAGCAGGGAGCCTGATGTGGGGCTCAATCCCAGGACCCTGGGACCATGACCTGAGGCGAAGGCAGACGCTTAACGACTGAGCCACCCAGGAGCCCCCGTTTTATTTTATTTTTTAAATATTTTATTTATTTATACGAGAGACAGCACAAGAGATCATGACATGAGCCAAAGGCAGACGTTTAACTGACTGAGCCACCCAGGCGCCCCAGGAAGCCATAGTTTAGAA